GAAACATCCAAAATTAATTCTAATAGATATGTGAAGTACAACTGTGCCTTCGAGGGCACCTACCCCAAATAGTAACTGCATAGCTAGCTTACTAACAAGAGAAACCCCCTGCAAGACACAACACTGCATCAACTTAATAGCATATATTCGTTTGCAGTGTAAATATATATCTGCGCTATATCAGTGCTCGCCATGGTTTTGCAGACGGCTTAATCGGTCCGAAGCCCCAAGCCACCCAAAGTGTTTATATAAATTGTCAAAGGAAATCCCCCAAAAATAGTGTTAATCTATTTGAGTGGTCTAAAGAAATTTCAAGAGAGGCCGAGGCTATCAGATTTCTGTGATCTCAAGCCCCAACGTGCGTTTTGCCGGTTAGCAGCTCTTCAAAGGGGAAAAGAATCCCTGTAAGTTCAGGTTTAAATATCGCGTTCTAGATCATAATAGGTGGATGTGGGTGATGACATCACCAGTTTAGTATCTGATGTAGAATGGTGGTCAGAGTGGACCACAAAGGTCTTTATTGTTTACAAATGACTGTTAGTGCATTTATATTGATGTTAAAGCATATTCAGTTGCTACTGACTTGATAACAGTCATAAATCACATCAAATGATATGAGATATTTATAAAACCCATATAAGATGTTTGCAATTAATTAGTAATCAATATACCAAACAACTTAAATAGAAAAGACACTTGAAAGTTAAGAATTGATAGTGAATGAAATTAAATACCAAGATAAGAATAAAACTTATTTCATTTTAAGGAGAGGAGCGCTATAAATGATTTTCATACAGTAATATTGGATATCATATCAAATGTCGAAAAAGTAATTATAGTCTCAAAAACAAGTAAATAGAATATGTGGAATAAAATAAAAAAATAATAATAGAAAATGATTATGATTAGTTAGTGTACACAAAATATATATACATAAAATATAAATGAATATTATGTATTCATATGCCAATTAGAAACCAAACATGGAATATTTGGAAATTAGGAGAGATCGTTAGTTAGGTAGATCCATCCATTTCAAAGTATAAAAGAAGTGTAATTGAACTCCTCATTGAGTTCCTGTGGGGTCAAGGTACTGAAAGAATAAATCCATTGGGATTCTTTTTGGAGTAGTTGTTGATTGAAGTTTCCTTTCTTAGGGTTTGGTACCAGTTTCTTAATTGCCTGAAATCTCAAATTGTCCATATTGCCTTGGTGAAAGTTAGCAATATGTCTGGCTACTGATGTTGGTGTTAAAGTATTTTTAATGGAACTCACATGTTGCAGGATTCTACGGCGAAATTGTTGAAAGGTCTTCCCAATGTACTGGATGCCACAGCTACATGTGATTAGATACATCTCATGTTACCATAATATTTTTTATTATAATATGTCTCTGGAAAAACCGTCCACAACTATGTAAAGTCTGACAATATATCTGGATCTATACAAAATGTATATTTGTGCCTTTTCTGCATATATGTATATATTGAGGCCTTCGTGCCTACAACTCTCACTTCTTCTTATCTGCATTAATTCAATAAAAAGAGATTTTTTTAAAAAAATTCCTGTTACTCATTTACTATACCAACACATATTATATACCATTATTCTCGCCATTAAATGGTCTTTCTAAAGATACCATTATTTTCATCATATTATATAATTTATTATAATTTTTTTTTATAAAATACGATGAAAAAAATAAGAAAATAGCACATTTTTTGTAACTCTGACCCCCCAAAATCTGTAATGCATCTACAACCGCCAACAAACACCCATGCTAAATAGTTTCTAAATTTTGTCCTGAGTTAACATGTTCTTAGCTTTTTTTTTGCAAGTTATAGGGCTATAAGTACAAGTTTCAAAATATATATTATTTAAATGTACCAATAGTGACATTGTAACACTGTTATCTGTCATAAATTTCTGAATCACACCTCACGTACATATTTTTTTTAAAGTTGATAACCCAGGGTATTCAATATGGGGTATATGCAAAAATGCAAAAAAACAATTATGAACACTAAATTTGGCCAGTGTTTGTGACTACGTGGCTACTAAAGAGACTGAACATACCCCATTTGCAATACCTTGGGTTGTCTTCTTTTTCAAATGGTATGCCATCATGGGGGTAATTCTTATTCCTGGGCTACCATACGCTCTCAAAGGCAACATAACCAATCTAGCAATTTTCAATGTAAAAAAATGGAAAATCAAGCCTTATATTTGTCCCAGTAACTTTCAAAAACACTATAAAACATGTACATGTACTGTTATACCTGGGAGATTTTGCTGAACATAAATATTAGTGTTTTAAAACAGTAAAACATATCACAACAATTATATCATTAGTGAAAGTGCAGTTTGTGTGTGAAAAATGCAAAACACATCACTTTCACTGATATTATTGCCGTGATAGGTTTTAGTGTTTTGAAAAACTCATATTTGTGTTCAGCGAAGTCTCCCGAGTAAAACAGTACCCCCCACACCCTCCATGTACAGGTTTTAGGTGTCATAGAAAGTTACAGGGATAAATACAGTGCTAGCAAATTAGGGATTATTTTAGCCTCGGTGAGGGAATAATCTAAATTTTAATAAAGTCAGGAGGCGAATATTTGTTTTACCTTCTTTACTGAAAACCTCCAGCAGCAAAATAGTTACTTTTTCAAACAACCAATCAGAACAAAACAACAGCAGTATAAAATCTCTCAGTCAGACCATTTCACTTCCTTATTCTTTGATGAGGTCGAGCAGAAGAGCAACGAAAACTTACGAATCCAACTTGTAACAGACACATCTAGAGAAGAAATCACCAAAACCAGAGGGAAACCAGATTACACTGCAAAGAAAAAGAGACATTGTGAAAGTAAACTGCCAAGGCAGAATGTCATACCACTTACAATATTACATCAACGGTATAGTATATGATGAACAAATGCACACGGACAACCAAGACGGAGTAAGAAAAAACATTTATTAAACAAAATGACACCATACATTACAAAAACATGGCAATAACTCCAATAACATAAGAGAGAAAAAAATTCCAGGGAGGGGAACATCAAGGGAGGGAAATATTCACCTCCTGTCTTTATTAAAATTTAGAATATTCCCTCACCGAGGCTAGAATAATCCCTAATTTTATGACAAGTCAGGAGGTTTCATATTTGTAATTTTAACGTCCAGACATAAAGGCAGAAGAAACATGAGATCGTGGGTGGAAATAAAAAGTATGGAAAGTCGAGTCCCTAGACCAATTAGCGGCACAGAGAATATTCGTAAGCAAGGGCTGCCTAAGCTGCAGCGCCCGAAGCGAATGTGCCCCGATGATAGAAGCCATCAAATCCAACGAGCGATCGTAGGGGTAGAAACAGCCCTAAATGGCCGTAGGAAATCAACAGCTGCCCATGAGCAGAAGGGCGAAAGGATGAGATCCTAGAGACATACGTCTGTAGACAACGTTCCACACAGAGACATGGTCTATCCGGAATGTAGGGATACGACACAGAAGAAGAATTAGATTTCGTCCTGCATGAGATAGAGACAGACACACCATCTGGTGAAAAGAAAAAAGAGTCTACATCAAAAGCACGAACATTAGAAACATGACGAAACAACACAAGACATAACAGGAGAGCCAGCTTAGCCAGCTTAGCAAGAAGCTAGCGCATAGACAAGTCCCCGTTATCAGGCCATTCCTCAAGGAATCGCAAAACAAGCGATAAATCCTAAAATGAGGAATAGCGAGAAGAAGACCGAGGGGTCTTACAACACCAAAACCTTGAGAAGGCACATGAGCTGCCGAGATGGCTTACCCTGAGAAAACAACTCTGCCAGGAAATTCAAGACAGCCATGATAGGGGTTATTAAGGGATCCAAACGCCTCTCCAGACACCAACCATGCCAGGATCGCCAGGCAGATATGACCGTCTGGTGCAGATATGACTGCCTGGTGCCAGGAGCCCAAAAATCCCAGAGTAATTATCTAGTCGTTGTTGATAGGCCCAACATATCCCAGGAACCATGGAAACAGTCCAAGCCACCAGCGGTAGGCTTTCCTCTAACATCAACGCATGTGGATTCCCTTGAGTATCCCGTAGGAGAAACCTGGAGACAGGGAGTTCTAGAGGTTCTTCGCACGACAACTCCTGCAAGAGAGGGAACCACGGTTGACTCCTTCAAAGCGGTGTAACCAGGAGCAGCGATACCCACAAAAGAGCTGGTCTGATGCAATGTCCAAAGGGGGAAACACATACACCCCCAAGGGAGGCCAGTCTTGGAGAAACACGTCCACCGGCTCGCTGAGGGGATCCGAAAAGCCAACTGAAGAACAATTCGGTTTGACGATTCGCCCTGAATGCGAACAGATCCAGATAAAGAGGGCCTCGAAGTGAGTCCAACAATCGAAACACCGGGGGCTGGAGTTGTCAATCGCTGGTGTCTCTCCAGTGGCGGGAGAACAAGTCCGCTACTTGATTGTCCTGCCCCGGGGGGGTATTCAGCCATGAGAGACAAGTTCCTGTCCAGACAGTATTGATAGAGATAATTCATGAGGTCTGACAGTAGTTTTGAAGGGAACCTCCCAACTGGTTTATGTAGCGGACCACCGAGACATTGTCCATGCGGAGAAGCTGCGAACAGTGACTCTTCCCCTTGGTGAAGCTGCGAATGGCAAACGACCCTGCAATAAGTTCCAGACAGTTGATGTGAAGGGCTCTCTCCTGTCGCCATGCCAACGCAAGCAGCAGCCCAGCCCCAAAATCTGGCGTCTGATTACAGAACGAAGTCCGGTTGAGATCCGAAAATCTCCTTGCCCTTCCAGACAAGCTTCGTCCGAGAGCCATATGACCTTGTTGTACAAGGTCGAAGACCTGAGGTAGTGAGCTTTCAAGCGTTGGAGAGCCCTATAGTGCAGAGGACCGGGGAAGATGGCTTGAATGGAGGATGGCAGCAGGCCTATCGCCCGGGCCAGATACCACAACCATGCGTATCGGCCGCAGATCGGTGACCTGTCTCAGAGGTTCGACAAAATCGATCCTAAACCCGGACACGGTCTGCAGAATGCACGGGTCCCCTGTAATGGCCTTGTGTTGGGATATCATCACTGTGAGCGGAGATTTGAAGGGCGGCTATCGGCGACACCACTACAGAGTCATTTGGGAAGTAAAGGAGGAGACCGAAAGTAACATCGCTGCTGACTCCATTTGATCCCATATCCAAAGCGCTTGTGAGTAGCGGAGCCTCTTTGCCCGCATAAAGCTCACCTACTGCCATGTCATCCATCTCCATATTTTAAGTATATACTTCCTTTTTCCCCTTTGTTTCACTAAGGGTTGTATTAGCAGGTTTTTTCCTGTTTGCGCTCCACTTATTACTTTTTTATTTTATTTCCTACTTTAAGTGTGTTTGTATCTGGAATCACAACACTTCAGTGTGCAGCAGCTTATTGATATATTTACACAGTGTAGCATTGTTTTGATTGCATGATAAGAGGAATCATTTGTAAGTGTTTTACCCATTTTTGCTTTTTGTTCCCTGAATGCCTTTTTTAGCGCTTTTTATAATTCCTATTTTTTATATTTTTATATTAATATATGTATATTAGTGATGTCCCGAATGGTTCGCCGAACAGTTCGCCACGGACTGCGAACATATGCGCTGTTCGGTCCGCCCCCTATGTCATCATTGAGTAAATTTTGACCCTGTACCTCACAGTCAGCAGACACATTCCAGCCAATCAGCAGCAGACCCTCCCTCCCAGACCCTCCCACCTCCTGGACAGCATCCATTTTACATTCATTGTGAAGCTGCATTCTTAGTGAGCTGTCCAGGAGGTGGAAGGGTCTGGGAGGGAGGGTCTGCTGCTGATTGGCTGGAATGTGTCTTCTGACTGTGAGGTACAGGGTCAAAGTTTACTCAATGATGACGAATAGGGGGCGGACCGAACAGCGCATATGTTCGCCGTCCACGGCAAACCGTTCGGGACATCACTAATGTATATATTATTAAAATTACACGTAGTATGACGTTATATATATGTATATATTATATAGATATAATATATATATATATCTTATATATATATATTTTATTTTTTTTAATTTAACTTTTATTATTTTACTTTTTCACCAGCAGGGGGACTGCCTGTCAGTTTAGTCTGTCCCCCTGCAGGCAGCACTATGGACGCCTATTGTCACATGGCCCGCTGTGTCCTAATTTGCCGAGGGGGGCCTGTCAGAAGGTCCCCCCAGACGGAGACGAACACAGTTCGACAGCGGGGGAAAGCGGCAATCGGTAAGTAATTAAGAATACCGCAGACGTATTTGGTACATCCATGGTCCTTAAAAAACGTTTTTGTCGTACGTACCTAGTACGTCCGCGGTCTGGAAGGGGTTAACTAGAAGAGAATTTATCGCACAGTGTCGCAATCTCTTTTATCAGCACAGAGAACCTTCAATTAAGATATAATTTGTTGTAATGTTACACTGCCTCCCTGAGGACAAGAGAATAATTTACTATCTGGTATAACCAATCCAGCAATAGTTAGATAAGTCACTGTTTGAACGAGGATATTAATTTCCTGTTGAATTTAAAGCATGCAGCAAAAACACTTTACTTTGGATTAGATCATGTAAAAAAAACTAAGAAAAATAAATAAATAAAAACTGCCAGCTGGCTTTGCAGTCCTAGATCTTCATTTTCATGGTATTGGTCAAGACAAACTGACCTGCACATCCTCCACTAGATAGAAATGGGATATTCTAGTTGCACTTTTCCTTGATGTGTGGCTCAATATTGGGCAAATCTTTGGCCTTCAAAGGGTTACATACGGAATCACAGATTTAAACAGAGATTTAATACTCACCCTTCCCAAATTATCTTGCAATGCTTCGTACGCTGTTCTAGAACGTCCTGTCATTTAGACTAGGGTGCTGGCAAATTGAACAGATTTCGGCTAAACCGAATGCCCACAGCTTGTCCATTCATGTTTGGATGAAATTCGGTCATTGTGTTCAGTTCGGAATTTCATACAGAGAATTAAATTCCGATTCGATTCTAGCCACTGCTGCATCTTGCAGCCGTTTAGTAGATAGCCCCCGAATTCCCACAAGGATGAGGGACCTGTCTACTAAAAAGCTGAAACACCAATATTGTTTGTTCAGCCAACTTTACTAACACTAAATGAAAAATACTTAGTATTAATAATTAAGGGAGATTAAAATCTCCCTCTTTATGCCACGAGTAGGAGCATTTTATTTATTTATTTTATAACTGTACTAAAGTGAGAAGGAGTCTTTTATCAATGATTTTATCATGGTTTACTAGAAATGTTGTGTATCTTCTAATATGCCCATATGGTTTACAGTACGTGGGTCGCACTATTCGCCCACTACATGTAAGAATTAGTGAACATGTAAATAACATTTTGAAAGGATACACACAGCATAGTGTTTCCACCACAACATGGACCCTAGAGGACTCACTTTTCTGGGTATTCAGATGAGTAAACCATATGGGGGGTGGGGGGCAACCATGTTCAAAACCTAGGTAGGGAAGAAATTAAGTGGGTGCATAGACTTAAAACCTTGGCACCCCAAGGACTGAATATTGAATTTGACATTTTTAATTTGTTATAAATCATTTTTATGAATATTAAAAAAAAAAATAATGAAAAAAAAAAGATTTTTAAATTATTTATTAGTAACTAACTTTTCTAATTTTATTAGTATACTATCAGTAATTATTACACTGTTTCTCAGATTGTTAGGTCTTACTTCATTTCTTACCTGCAGCCATGGGAAAATCACTTATACATATGTTTTACTTAATATTTAGGATGTTTGTGCAGAATCTCTTTTAACTCTTTTTTTTTTTTTCTTTTTCTCCTTAAGTAGGTTATCATTTTAATATGTTTATATGCTGTGTTTTGGTATCAATGTATGTTTTCAGACATTTAGGAGATATAACCCCTGTTTTAAAAAGGAACTGATAAGGCTTTTGGGACTCCTGTATATTTATGAGACATTAAGCCTCAACCAATGAACACTGATGAGGCATTAAGCCTTAACCTATGGACATCTTTCTATTGGGAACTATTTGGGCGATTCACGCCCATATATACTGACTGTGGACAAAGTGAGGGCAGATCTGAGAAAGCCGGGATACCGGCGAAATGCGTCATCACGCCCTGACATCATGCACACGCATGGTTGGCCACGCCCCCCGGAACTATCGGAGTTTCAGCAACCATTTTTTTCCACGGCCGGCAGTGGTGGTATTCAGGAAGAACTCTATCGCAGTGTCCGTAGTGGTACATCCTGAAGCCATTACAGTTAGAGCAGGCTCCTCTGCTCTACACTTGTGACTGTTCCCTTCTGAAGCTAAAAAATTTATTTTATAATATTGCCCTATGAGGTTGTTTTTTCTTCTTTTTTTACATGTGTACCTTCAATGTGGAGCCAACTAATATCAATGCATATTATGTGTTACCATGTTAGTGAAGTGTGGCACCTTACACTGCTTTTTGCACAGAAATTGCAGCACTTTATTGTGGTTTATTTATTGCACTTTAGGAAATAATATCTATATAAGATTTCATATAACATTTTATTAAGTATATGTCTTAAAGACATAGCACACCTTATTTGGTTTTCTATCTTATTGAGTGTCATTTTGAGCTTATACACTGACTCTGAGTGAGGTGCAGCTTCTTCACAATTAGTTTATTTGGTCTGTTTTTAGCACATTAGTACTTGAATTTGTTTCTTTCATTTGTCTACTAAATGACTCACTGTTTAATAGACATGCCCGTTACAAGGAGGTAATGAGAGTGGTCTTCGTTCCTTCTTTGTATTTTCGAATGAACGAATAGCGAATGTATTTAACTGGGCATGCACAGGATTTTTACAGTGCTAGCTAGTGTGAGCAGATAACGTGTCCCACAAGGCCTTCACCTGCCCATAAGAAGATGGCAGCACCTAGAACCTAGATCTGTGCAAGAAAAAAAACAAAAACAGGTTAAGAAAAATCAATAAAAGTGAAATAGAGAATCTGTGGGCATTTCGGGGTGACTAGGGGGACAATGAAATGTAGTTGTAGTCAGGAGGGAATTAAAAACAAACAAGAAACAGATGTGGCCATGACAGTGCCGCTTTCAGGAATCTAAGGTACAATAACAGAGGACCATTGTTTGGTTAATAGCCATATTGGAAAGGGAACGATACTCTGGAATAACTGCACCTAAACAAAGAGCAAAAGCAGATGTCAAAAGGGAACTATAGTCGCCAGAACAACTACAGCGTATTTTAGTTGTTCTGATGAATCTAGTCAGGAACGGCCAGCTTCTTATTATTATTGCCATTTATATAGCGCCAACAGATTCCGTAGCGCTTTACAATATTTTGAGAGGGGGATGTAACAATAAATAGGACAATTACAAGAAAACTTACAGGAACAATAGGTTGAAGAGGACCCTGCTCAAATGAGCTTACAGACTTAATGTAAACATCACCTTTTCAGAGGCTATATTACAGCCTAGGAACACCTCTAGTGTCCACTGCTCATACGGCCACTAGAGATGCTTCCTGGGGCAGTGCTGCTCACAACATTCAGCATCTCCACAGCTAAACTTTCCCCATAGAGATGCATTAATCTGTATGAGGAGATGCAGACTGGCCAGGATGGGTTTGGCTTAATCCCCGCCCAGATCCTTGGCTGAGATCATGAAAATTGACGATCTCAGCCAATACAATGCTTTCCTATGAGGCGGGGACAACCATGAGGAGCTCAACGCTGTGCTGGAAAAAGGTGAGCTTTAACCCTTTTACTTTCCCGACATTGGGGCTGAGGGCCAAAATAGCGATATTAGCACTATAGTGTCAGGAATACATGTTTGTCTTCCTGACACTATAGTGCTCCTTTAATAAAATTATAAGATATCTGCTTTTGAATGCTAATGTTAATAAAGAGATACACTTTGTGTTATCCTTGTTTCTATCCTATTCTTACTGACACTTAGATTTATACCTCAGACTCTGTATTAATGATAGTGTTCCCATGTGTATGTGATAGTAATTGTCTATTAATCAATTATCTTCTACTTCTACACAATCTATTTTTATTATATACCTATTGAAGGTTTAAGTTTTAACATAAATAGTGATCATGTGGTCAGGGGACTTGGTCTAGTTTGGTTCTTTGAATCTATTGGGTCCATGCCCTTTTTTACCCTGTTACCTCACATTTATCTCCCCTCCCACCCACTCTTGTACATTTTTAAATAAAGGACATAGTTCTAAGAGCAAAAAGAAAATCCAGATGTATTTCCTTAAATCATCAATATATAGCCATATGATTAGACTGCTTTGATCAAGGGAGAATTGAGCAACGTTTTTTAAATTTAGTGGTGTTTTCCCTTCTCTTGCTGCTTGCGACAAAACCCACTTGTTTAGGATGTAAATGATGAGCAATATGTGTCATGGTGTGTAGTTTGATGTGGACATATAAACATGGGATGTCAAACATATCTGGATCATTGTTACCATCCTGTTATCACAATGTAAAATGCAGAATAGAAATGAGTGCACAGTGGAATAATCCATTAGAGAGCTAAATTAGTATTTTAATGCAACCGTCACCCTAAACTTACCTCACTTTTTGTACTAATGCCAATGAAGTGCCAGGAAATGAAAGAAAAAAGATGGCAGCGCAAGCTTAGATAGCATCAGGTATATCAACCCTCCAAAATGTACGAAGACCTCAGAAGATGACATTGTCACTTTAATTTACAATAAGACATTTGAGTATAATCTATTTCCTCTGGAACTTGAAATCAGATTGGTTCATTAATGTAACAATCGTTTAATTTCCATCAGGCTGTCATGACAGAGGAATTGCACTAAAACCAGATTAATATGAAAAAAAAATACTTGGTTTTATTTGAAATGAACTAAAACCATAACCTTTATAACAAACAAAAAAAATTGTTCCTACAGTTGCAGGATTTACCGTATGGAAATTGTAATATCCTGCTAACTACATTGGCAGCTGAAGATGTAATTGATAACATTTTTTGCAATTTTTATATTTTAATAAGGTGTTATCTAGTAGACTTGTGCAAAGGTTAGTTTGATGGTCTGGGTTAATCAAATTTCTTTGACTCTATTGTGCAGTCACATATAATGAATAAGACTCCACAGGTAAATTCCGGATAATCGATTGTTTCAGGAGTGGACTAAAAGGAATTTGATTTGAACAAACTGTCCGAAATACAATTTTGTGCACGTTTATTCTTTAGTACAATCTTAAGCTTATTCTATCGTTGTTCCTTGTTCATGATACTTATTTAGAAAATAACAGATATTAAGAAAGTGTGAGTGTAAAAAATGGATTTCATATCAAGGTAAAAAAAAAAAAAATGAAGCAAACGTTCTAGTTTCAATTTATTTTATACATAGACATATTGTCATCATGGGGACTTAACCAAAAATATTTTCACTGTTTACTACATCATGGCTCATAACTGTACAACGTAAAAAAAAAAATATATACACATTTTACAAATCTTCATCCTCGTCTTCTTCATCACTAATTACATATTTCTTCTGTTTCTTATTTGCTTTATCCTCATCTTCTGCTTTTCTCTTTCCAGAGGGTTCACCTTCCTGGTTAGGAGAATAAACAAAGAAACCAGTTATAGATCACCTCACCGGTAATAAATAAAGTACAGTCTTTTTACGTCAGGTCTTGTATTATAAATACAATACATTAAAAATATATATAGTATAGGAAATACTGCAGATGTCACTGAGCTCCAGCAATCCCAGTCGTTCTGTGGTTGTTATAGCTATTCACAGAGGTCTCTGGGATCCATTCAGCAAACCACAGATGCTTAAATATTCTACATTTTTCCAATTTGCGGGGGGGCAAGAAGCACTAGTACAAATAAACTTGAAGCAAATAAGGACTTAGAGTAACTCGCACCAGTTTGTCTCACTTTATTGACTTCATAAAGGAGAAGCCCCAATATGTTTGTGAATGCAAATCTTGCTCTATACTCTATAGAACTACAGGCAAATGTTAATATGTCAAACAGTTGTGCATCAGGATTGTAGGCAGAGGTGTACAGTTGTATTTTTCCTGATATGCTGTGTCTCTTTTTCAGAAAGAAAGTGAAAGACAAGGGATGGATTAACAAAATTGCAGTTTTGGTTTGTTTTTTGCAATTTGTTTCCACAAAAACATGCACTTGTCATCAGGGATAAAAAAAAAATAAAACCCTGAAAACTATTTGTATGCTGTTCTATCAAAGTGCACTCTTTTTTTTATGCTTTTGTTTTTGCGCTGTGGCGGAGTGGTCAAATATTACGTTACATTTATCAGTAACATGAAAGGTGGCAGTTGTACATGCATTAGGTTTTTGGATACAGTTTGGCAAAGCAGCTTTGCACAGAATAGAATATGCATTTCAGTACCCTGTGGGTAAAAGTGGATTGCTTTTTTACAAGGTTGTGTCTATAGAGTAGAGGGATTGTATACATCAGTAGCTGTCCTGCCAGCCAATGCAAAGCAATATTATGCAAGAATTATTCAACAGTGCTAATGGTTTAGATTAGCGTATCCCCTAGTCATGTGCCTTTCAGATCCGCCCCAAGAGGGTTTTTACTCATCTTGTGTTATCCAATTTGAAGTGATATGAAGGCAAGAGAAAGAGAAAAAAAGTCAAAGGGTCCCATGCTAGTTGGGAGAAGTAGTCAAAGTGCACTCTTGCACAGTGGCTCAGTGGTTTCCAACTTTCTTTTCTTTTCTTTTTAATTAAAGGCATCTTTTAATAAGAGAAATTTCAAATCAAACCTACGTTTGCTTGTTTTACCTCAAATCATCTTATAATTGTCTCATTTTATTGCGGCCTTACTAGAAAGGAAAATAACTTTTTTTTGTTATAAGGTCGTGATGGCAACATTTATTAAAATATGCATACTTAAAGCAACACTACAATGTTGCCCCTTCACTTTAATATCAAAGTGTTTAAGAACTCTGTCCTATAAATCTAGGCTCTTCCTGAAGCAATAGGACCACTCCCATTTCAGCCAGTGCTGCTGCATCAAGGTCAATCCAGTCCAACATGGATAACATTGATTTGGTAAAAATGCAGGGCTAACCAACTACTAGAACACTTAGCCAATGTAATCCATGTTGTATTAAAATCAACATTGAGAGTGCAGATGCGAGCCCCTGGGCTGAACCTCTGTTTATATCAAACTGTTCTTAAACGGTTTGAATTAAACCAAGGACAGTGCTAGGGGATTTTAAGGAACCGATCAAGTACAGAGTGATGTAATGGTTCGCTTGCATAGAGTACCCTTTTAAGAAACATAATTCAACCTATCAGATCTCCAAACGCAACATGTTCCTGTAAGTAATTACTAAAACTATGGCACAGTGTAATATGTATCGGAAAATGTCAGGTCTATACCAGCACTAGCACGGGTCAAGAAAGTGCTTAACCCATAATCTTAACCATCAAATAGAAAGGAATAAAAGAAAAACTTCCAAAGTTGAACGTTTGCTAGTGTGAAAGATATTTGTGTATTTTAGATGGAAGTTGCATTAGAAACAAATTATAATTCAAAGAAAAAAAAGTCTATAAAATAATTGGCTTGTGTCAAATTGTGTAACCAAACTGTCTCAATTTTACCGTTTATAACATTACATCAGAGATACGGTTTCCTAGACTTTTAGTATTGTCTCCATAGGGAAATAAATCACATGAAATTACTTAACAGTGTTTTAAATTTCAGTTGCTGCGGGGTCCTGATGTTTATACATATACACAGGTAAATTCAACAAATCTATCTTATAACTTTGAACTAGATATTGTTCAACTAAGCAATCTATGTCTGTAGCACAGTATACCATTTAATGGCTATTAACAGAATGTTCCTAATCGTGAGTGTTATCAGCTCACTAAACTGGTAGACGAGTTTCAATCCGGTTTATATTGCCGACACCTGATCACTTGCAGTATATGAAAGTAAAAAGATCTACTATTATAAAAGAGGAAGTAGAGCCGTTTATTCAGTGCCTTTTGCTATTACTTAAAGGACTACTATAGTGCTAGGAAAACAGCTGGGCTGAAGAGCTTAAAACACCTTCAGCCACTTACCGTTCTCCAGTGCTGGGCTCCCTCGGTGCTGGTGACCTCTCCTCCTCCTGCCGAATGCGTGGCAAGAGCCGTGCACGTTCAAACTGCCCATAAGAAAGCATTACTCAATGCTTTCCTATGGACGTCAGCCACTAGAGGCTGGATTAACCCTCAGTGTAAACATAGTTTCTCTGAAACCGCTATGTTTTCAGCTGCAGGGTTAAAACTAGAGGGACCTGGCACCCAGACCACTCCATTGAGCTGAAGTGGTCTGGGTGCCTATAGTGGTCCTTTAATGATTTATTTTGCTATACATAGATTGGATATTGGTTCTATCCTGTGTATATTGGTTTGGACAAATACATGTACATACAATATATATATATATATATTTTTTTTTTTTTTTTTTTTTTTAAATTTAAAATCCAACCTGGCTGGAATTTTTTTTTTTTAAACTTCAACACTATTTTGTCCTAAATGTTGCAAGTTGATGTTTATCACCACAAATCACTGTTTAATAAGTAAACACCTTACAGGAGAGATGAATTGAGTGTTACCTCTTCATCACTGTTCAGTTTCTTTGCCTTAAGAAGTCTCTGAGCCTTGTCATCATCCGAAGCTTCATCGCTGTCTGATGAATAAATTCGAGCTCGTTCCTCTGTTATACAGAAACAGCACAATCATTTATAATATACATATACCATGAAACGTTTGTGCATTTGATAGCACTCATTTATAATTTAAAATAATGATTTGAGCACCATGAGAGTTACAGTTTAAATGTGTTTGATTTTCAGTCTCTTTATTGAAAATTCACTAGCTAGCATGCAAACACGACACATTTGTAATAGGTTCCAATGGGCAGACTTCATACACAAACGTATAACATGCTTTCAGGGATCTAACAGCAATTCCCTGTGTGTTAACTACAATTGAAATTGGATTAAATTATTGGAAAATCAAAATACTAGTGTGCCAATATTTCATAAATATCTTCAACAATTAAAACAAGCTTCCTTACCGCGTACGCCTTTATAACGGTTTTTAATGGCTGCTAAGCTTATGGCCTCATCTGTTTCTTCCTCATCATCATAGCGATCTGGTTCAAGGTAGTTGGCACTCAATCCACGCTGATGCTGCTTCTCTCTCATTCTGCGTTGCTGAGATTCTCTACGGATGGATGCTCTTAATCTCTCCTCCTCTTTCTGCAAAGATGGAACAAGGTTAACAATAAGTCATCTGGTCTGGGAAAGGCCCATCAAATAATTGCCAAAATTCACAACCGATTTTCTATATGTGGATAACCAAGTTTATTTATGCAGATATTGGGAACATCCAGTACAACCAGAGAATATTTTACAACAATCCCCATTGCTGCACACATGGGAAGAAAGCAATCTTATTTATATCTTAACACGCAATGTAAAAAATAAATGGAGACGTGTAGATCAACATATAGTATTGAACTCCATATCTTCACTTTACTTTGCTTGTTTTCTGTGCAATCAGATATACCAAATAATTTAGAATATACATTTTCAAACTAAAATTCTAGATATTTGGTATTACATTATTGTTACTAGAGCAAAAGCAGTTGGGGAAAAAAAAATAACTGTTCATTAATTTTCATACTATAGAACACCCATCAACATACATTTACATCACAGCATGCATTCCCTTACAAGAAAAGAATAATGCCCAACAGATTCCTTAAAGAATATTACATAGAATTAGAATGTACCTAAATAATGGATGTATACATTTCCTTTGGACTATAAGCCTGCAAGAGTTTTCTGTTCACGTTACTTTTGGGTAACATTGCTAAACACAAGTACCAAAAGTCAATTTGTCACAGCCTCTGAGAACAAAACGTGGACAGCTGATTTTCTTGTAATTGAATATATAACATTCAAAGTCTAAATGTATATGTGAATGTAAATCCATTCTTTTTTTACCTTAATCATCTCTGTTCTTTGAGATTCTGGATCACGTCCAGCCATTGGAAGGATGCGGATCTTCTGAGTTTTCGAGCATCTGTCTGCAAGGGACAATGTCATCTTCCTGTGAGTTGCACTGTCTGTAGAATGGGGCCTGTCATGAAAAATAAAACAGAATTTGGTGTGTTTACAACATTGCATTTGTCTTTTGAAAAAGAATTACTCATACACAAAACAGCTCCTCAACAATTTTTCTGTCAGTTTTAAGATTTCATCATCTCTGTCACACCCTGATGTTTAGATCAAAAGTGCAGAGAACGACATGACCTATTCAAGGGGCAGTGCTACCAAGTTAATATGAAAACAATGTGTACAATAATCATTACAACGAGCTCCAGAATTAGATATTTGGGACAAACATGTAGAGGGAAATGAAAAGGCTAATATGTCATAAGGGAAAGAGTTACAGGGATTCTAAAATCTTTTCAATCACCTTAACGTTAGATAATAAGAAGACATTTATATTGGAAGAAACTAGACTGAAGAATAAGATCTTTAGGCAATCACAGCAAGGTAGAGAAAGCAAACAGAGAAGGGACACTGGCATGCACATCATGCAAACAATTTGGTTATAGGTTTCTTGGTTGGATTTTTACTGCACACACTTACCTGAAGGTCAGTTTGGTTTTAAACACAGCCTGGCCCTGAAGACCAGTTCCCTGTCTTATAAAAAGATGGTTGTGATCTCCTTGCAATGGAGCTTTGTATACATCAAACACTTCATTGCCCAAGTGTAATGACATGCTACGTGGAAGAAAACATAAAACAGAACATTAGGGGTCATCTTTAAATACATCATGGACATGAGCATGAAAATAAGACAGGTGTTTTTTGTTTGTATTTTGCCATTTAAAAAAAAAAGTCAAAATCCACAACAACAGAAAACATACAAACCTGCCATCAGACCACTTCACAATACGGGCATTGCTCTCTCGAACGTCATTTCCATCTTCATCTCGGCGCGTCCGCCATCGGATTGTGTTTTCAACCTATCAACAGCAGGAAATGACAGAAAGACAATCAAAAAAACATTTAACACCATGATTAAACAACATTTTTTTTAAAAATATTCAGGATTCGGAATCAAGTAATATTACCCATTTAACCTGCACTAATAAAGGTGACTGTAAGCCTGTATGTTTATTAGATACTAGAATGTAAAGAAAAGTTGTAGGTAAATTGACAAGTTACATGTATATCTTAAAAGCACTTGCAAACCCTCCCCTTTTTTCCTGGAAGAGACTAACAGCCTCTTCGTGGAGAAATAGTCTATCAGAAGCCTTTCATTGAGAAGTCTTTGAAGCTCTCCCCCATGCATCCATGCACACTGCACAGTATTCTGAGCGGAAGTATGGGAAGGAGGTATGCGTGGGGAGCAAATGAGCTTGTGGTGCATTCTTACATATGGCATTGGCAGAGCAGGCCCCACTTATATTACTACACCTATGCGTAGATAGAGAGTACTCCCTCTCTGCACAACTTACAATTTTCTATAAAAACTGGAAGAATTTGCCAAACTCAGCAAGAATACAGTACATGTCATGTTCATACTATATGTTCTTGCTTCATGTCAAATAATACCATTTTACATGATTTACATGAATGTGAAAATACACAGTTTGCTTCTCGCACAATCCACAATAAGTAGCAAAAACAAACCTTTAATTTCAATCTTGTTCTACCTTCTTCATCCAACATCTCTTCATCCTCAAACTCATCTTCGTAATACTGAGGATCAAAGGGTCTGAAATAGTAAATCATTATAAAAAAAGAAAAAATGTTTTTAAAAGGTTTAGAACAAAGAAGCAAACATTATAAATATAGGAACCATTACAAGGTTTAATAGTAGCTTATACATTTTAGCTTTAAAGAAGCAAGGATTAAAAAGAGAAATACACTAGTTTTAGGGGGAAATGCAGTGTATGTTCTGCCGGCCATTAAACATCTGTCTTTGAGAAGCACTGATAGTGACATACCCCTTTTAGTAAGGAAGGAATCTTGTCTAAGTGATGGACTTTCAGCTGACAGCTTTATTGTCTACCACTAGGCTAAGCTGCTAGGCTAATGAAGAAAAACTAAAAACAACCCCAGGATTCTTTTTCCAAGCAAGAAACAAAAGGTGACATGAGATCAAATGAATACAGTCTTTGTAGAATCCTACACACTGGCAAATTAAACCAGTTACACGTTTATAAAAACAAGAGGCAAGTTAACATATCCACACATTTCTACATTTGCACAGGCCCCCCAATTACTATATGATAAAAACTGAGGTTTACTCTGCCTCATATCAAGTCATACCAGGGATTGCTGGCAGTGATAGGCTGGGAGGGCTCAGCTTTCACTGCCTGCCACTTGTGTTATGTAGTGTAACTATGCCTTGGTCAAATCATCATTGGAGGTCAGGCTGCAATTGACTGAGCATCTCTTCTAAATGGTGAGCAAACCATGTTGCAGGATCTGATACCCACAGACACATGCACCATAACCACTTAAACCTTTTGCCTACAGTGTACCTTTAAGCAAGGTTCCATATCAATTGTAGGCATATTTACTCATAATCCATCAGTAAAATGAATCCCACAGAGAGTCAATCAGCACTAATTCTTTATGGGGGCATTTTTAAATATTACCTGGGCTCAACACTAAGAAAGTTAGGAAGTTTCACGAAATACAAGTCATTGCCCAGGTCTGTATTGACTTTTGGTATCTCGACTTCTATGCGAGTTTCTGGAACTGCTTCTTCTTCAGGTTGATCTTGATCCATTCCATCTTCATCCTGTATCATACACACAAAGTTAAAGGGCTGTAGAAGTGACGTGCCACCACATTTCATTGATACTGGTTTATACATAAATATAACAACTTTAACCATTGGTAGTATTCATTATAAATGAGCTTATCTCACAGAAATATCAAACTGCTTATGTCTAACAATTAAGGACAATGTGACAAATGGCTATGGGAAAATGACTCCACGTAAAACCCATTTTTACATTGAGACATTTTACACCTTAAATGGAATACTGGCAAGAATTTTGTCGCTGGTGCTGTTACTTAGAGTGATGTTCAGTAATGGGAAGCTATATAATTCTTGGCAGTAAATAGTTTTGAATGCTATTCACTCTGATGAACTTTAGAGGGAGAAGTTCTCATATAACATGCAAATGACCCAATTTTTTTTATTTTTTTAAATCATAGTGTGTACACACACACATCCCTGTGAGTGATGGTCTTGCAGAAATGAAGCCTGGCCTGGAGTGTGGTTTTGCTTATAATGCATACCATTGGTTGTCCTGGAGTAGCTGGCTTTTGTTCCCCATCACTGCCTGAAGAAATGTCATCTGCATCTCCAAACAGATCAGCAGCATCTCTTTTAGCTGTAAAATCAAATCAAATATAAACGCCGGTATAAAGACTAAAATAAATAAATAGTTTGAATAAAACCGCTCTAGATTTGATTTTGCACATGCTATTATACAACTTCTAAAAACATTTCAAGGGACATTAAGTTGTCTGGTACACAGTCAATGTAATAACACAAATGGTTGAAATGTAATATATTTAGTCTGTTCACAGGTCATTAGTGATGTCCCGAATGGTTCGCCGCGGACTCCAGTCAGCAGACACATTCCAGCCAATCAGCAGCAGACCCTCCCTCCCAGACTCTCCCACCTCCTGGACAGCTCACTAAGAATGCAGCTTCAAAATGGATGCTGTCCAGGAGGTGGGAGGGTCTGCTGCTGATTGGCTGGAATGTGTCTGCTGACTGGAGTCCGCGGCGAAACGTTCGGGACATCACTACAGGTCATATCTAAGCCTATAAAAAAAAGTTCTCAACACAAAGCAAAATAACTGCATATAGTCATAATAATTTTGCTGAGGATTTTATTTATCTGTATTACTGAAGAGGTTCTGGGGGAACAGGAACCTCAACTTCAGCACAAGAGCCTGGCAAGATAATTCACTAAATAGATCATTCAAAGTGAATTTTTACATTTAAGGCCGAAATTGCCAAATTGTAAAAATTCTCTACTAGCTATGCTTTTAGTTTAGCTAATTTAGCCTAGCTAATTTAGCCTAAAATGTTCCATCTCCTTGAATTCCCTTTGGTGAATAACCGTGCAGGAGTGGATGATACCAGTGATATTAGCACATACCTACGTGTGTTAAGCACATCGCTATAAACCCTTTTTAAGGCACTAAAGGCAGAATGAACAAAACAATTTGCTTTTCAGCATTTGAGGTCATCTTGATTGGAGGTGAATTCTTTATGTAATGTTGTAAAGGAAAGAACGTTGTGTGTGATCTACATAACAGTGATGGTCTTGGACCATTTCGGCTGATAAGATCTTCAAACTCTAATGCTCATATTGCAAACAAGGAGCATTCCATAGATCCCTGTAGTTACATTGGGGCAGAGGACCAAGTTCCAAATTACATGCTCCACTGTCTACTAGTGATAAATGATTTAAACATTGTACATTGTGGTCAGAAAAATGTATCAAGTTTAAACATACTTCAGTATGGCGTGTAGGTAATCCATAAAAGTATAGGAAACGACGTCACAGTCTTTCTTATGTGGCGCTTTAACGTTCTTGTGCTAAATTGATTATTATCATCAGATGACCATTCTGAATGTCTGACAATTTGTAATGTCTGGTGTGGTATATGTTAAGATGGAATTTACAAACTATCACAAGTTATAATTTCTTTTTTTTCTTCCTAAATTAACTCAATTGTGTTTGCGTACTGTCACTTGGATGTCGCAGAACAGTTTTTTACCTTTGGGTTCTTCTCCATCACTATCCATTTCAGAATCTGAAGCAATAATCTTTTTATGTTTTTGGCGAACTACTTCTTCTTCGCTGTCACTTCCTTTAGCAGACTCTATTAAAGCAACCAAAATGTAAGGTTTTAAAGTAAAGCAGATTTTAAACCCAAAACTGCAGAGATAAATATTAGAAAAAACAAATCTAAGCAAAGCATAAGTTATTTCAGAATAAAATAATACAATTTAAGAAGTGTAACTGAGTTACATGTACTGTATTTAAAAAATAAAACAAATAATGCATTTAACAGATGTAGTAATCCTTAAAGTGTCAATAAAGGATGGTAATAGCACCCAACCCCTCTTTAAAGAGTAAATATTACTTTTCTTCACTCCAGTAAACGCTTATACAATTACCTCCATTGCACTTTGCCACCACATGATGCCTCAGGCATCTAGATAGGAATGTTGTACGAACACATGTGAGCTCTTTCATTGCATCAGTAGTGGCATACACTCATATGAAGCGATGCCTGGCAGGACCAGTCTGAACTATAGCTATTTGGTTGTGCAAAAAAGTGACAGTTCAGCTTTAAATGTACAATATAGGCACCCAGACCACTTCAGCTCATTGAAGTGGTCTGGGTGCAGTGTCTCTTTTGAACTTAATGCTGCAATGTTAAACACTGCAGTTCCAGAGAAACTGCAATGTTTACATTGCAAAACTAAGTCTGCCTCCAGAGGGCTTCCTCAATCAAAACGAACATTTGGTCGAGAATCTGATGCTGGACGTCCTCACGCTCTGCATCCAGAGTCAGACTTTTCCCCCCAAGGAAAGCAGTTATTCAATGCGCGCATATGGAGGTCTAATGCGCTCGCTGGAATTGCCGCCATTGCGCATTAGCGCCTGCTCGTTGCAGGATGTTGGAGGGGGTGGAGTGTCAGCCCTGCGCCGAAGGACATCGGCACTGGGATAAGGTAAATAAAGGGGGAGACAGGGGGAGCGATAGTGCCAGGAATACAGTTTTGTATTCCTGGCACTATAATAACTCTTTAATGTGTTATGGGGCTGATCAAACATCATTTCTGTGTTTCCCTGCAAAACACAAACCTGCTTTAACTTGCAGGTGAACAAATGCCACTACTTTTACCTACATATCTGAATTTTGTTCAGTAGATAAAAAGAATACTACAGGATCAGGAACACAAAAGTGTATTCCTGATCCTTTAGTTTTATAACCACTATTTAGATGGCTTGCCCCCCCACAAAAAGATAAATAAAACTTACCTTATTTCCAGAGCCGCGCAGGTCCCTCTGCACTGGCTCTGCCCCCAATCCGCCTAGTTGACTGACATCATCAGAATTAATCCAATGCTTTCCAATAGGCCTGGCCAATCAGCATTTTCTCGAACAATGCACTGAATCAATGCATCTCTATGGGGAAAGTTCAGTGTCTCCATCCAGAGGGTGGAGAAGCTAAACATCAGTGCTACACACTGTGCAGTGTTTAAAGCAAAATGCCTGCAGGGACTGACTATACTCACCATTGACTAATTGACAGCCGCTAGAGGCACTTCGGCGCGTCTCACCGTGATTTTCACAGTGAGATGACACCAGCGTCAATAGGAAAGCATTGAGAATGCTTTCCTATGGACTGGCTGAATACCGAATGAGGAGGAGAATCCCTAGCGCCGAGGGAGCCCGGCGCTAGAGAAAGGTGAGTGTTCAACCCTCTTCCTCCCCCTTCAGCCCGGCGGGAGTGGGACCCTCAGGGTACTAAAGTGCCAGGAAAAAGAGTTTGTTTTCCTGGCACTATGGTGGTCCTTTAAGCTGTAGTGGTCCTTTAAGCTGGCAACTATAGTTTCCCTATAAAAATAGGCATTTGTGTATTTAAAAGAGTTTTTTCATCAGTTATGAAAATTACAATACAAATTAACATTACATAATGCTCTCTAGTATAATACTTTATTTGACCAAGTAAAAAAAAAAGTCCACTGGATCAGTCAGGTTAGGAGATTTACTTCTTGTACTCTGTCAGTTTTGGAGGTAGTGTTTAACTACGGCAGCTCCAGTGGATATTACTGATCCTGGGGCTATCCTTGTAGAAGCATGATAAGTGCCATGTCAGGGGCAGTAACAATTTTATTTGCAGATAGTTTTATTTACAGAAGAAATCTGGTATCAGGTACAAAAGTTAAAAAAGGCAGGACAACACCAAAAGAAAAGAAAATTAATTAGCTGTGGGAACTTTGATATTTAAGGTATTGCTATGTAGAAATCTAATTTCCCTGGTCCTGTGGTCTATGGATAAAACCAGCAAGTGATAAATCAATGCTAACAGTTCAGTTACTTTAGGAATACCTATAAAAACAAACTTTAATATGCTCATTACAAAACACAGTGTGCAGCACCGACATTCAGCATCTTCATGCTCTGCATGGAGATGCCAAATGTTCTCAAAAGAGATGCATTGATTGGAGCAGCGTGGCGTTTTGCCATGGAGACTAGGCCAGCCGCAGCATGGCAAAAAAGGTAAGTTTAACACAATTCCATGCAATCTAAGGGTGACTGGGAACCTAAATAGTTAGTTTAATGCTATAATGTTCCTACCTGATTTGTGCTCGTTCTCTTCACCATCTGAGCGGTGGCGATCCTGCTCCTCATCATCTGAATGTTGTCTTTCCTCATCATCAGACCGCCGGTGATCATTATCAGAGTGCTGAAGTTCACCATCTGACCTTTGGCGATCGTTTTCATCATCAGAATGTTGAATTTCATTCTCCTCATCTTCTGAGTGCTGCTGTTCCCTCTCTTCGCCATCTGACGGACGGTGATCATCATCAGAATGTTGGCGCTCATCATCTGAATGCTGCGGTTCATTTTCTTCATCATCTGAAATACGAGGTCTGTGATCCTCATCATCCGATTGGCGTGTTTCCCGTTCTTCTCCATCTGATTGATGATTCATTTCATCATCCGACCGGTGGCGTGCCTCATCATCATCATCCGACCGGTGGCGTGCCTCATCATCATCATCCGACCGGTGGCGTACCTCATCATCATCATCTGACCGGTGGTGTACCTCATCATCATCGTCCGACCTTTGACGTACCTCATCATCATCGTCCGACCTGTGACGTACCTCATCATCATCGTCCGACCTGTGACGTACCTCATCATCATCGTCCGACCTGTGACGTACCTCATCATCGTCCGACCTGTGACGTACCTCATCATCATCATCCGACCTGTGACGTACCTCATCATCATCATCCGACCTGTGACGTACCTCATCATCATCATCCGACCTGTGGTGTACCTCATCATCATCCGACCTGTGGTGTACCTCATCATCAGACCGGAGATGTCCCTCATCATCTGACATGTGATGTTCATCATCATCATCCTCTGATCTGTGATGCGCATTATCATCTGATCTTTCAGATCTTTGGTGGCCCTCATCGTCTGAATGCTGGAGATCATCATCAGAATCCTGCATTTTCTCATCCTCATCAGACTGGTCACTTTTGTCTTCCCTTGCCCATTTTTCATCCTCAGAGGGGCCATCTCTGTCTGAACCTTCTACCTCAGAATGATGACTACTGTGATCAGATCTCTGTCCATCTCCCTCATTGTCATCTTCATGAAGGACCTCAGAACCACTATGCGGCTCAGCATCCGACTGATCGTTTTCCTCTTGATCAGAGTGTGCTATTTCTGACTGATTATCTGACCTTTCTGAGTGATTGTCACTGCCACTGTGTTGAGACACCGCTTCATCCTCACTATCATCTCCAAATAATTCTTTGTTGCTTGGCTTTACCACAGCATGCTCATCATCCTCATCTTGATCACTCTCACTTGCTGAAGGGTTGCTTACTGAACCAATATTTCCTGGTTCTGAATCTGATCCAGAAGCAGAATCAGAATCTGCAAATGAGAAGTATGAAAAGCAAGACATTTGTTATCACACCTCATTTATGCCAAACAATTGCAAAAAAAAAAAACAGACATGTTTCAATTATAAGATGTAACTCTTGGTTGTTTTATTTTTTTACAGATTTATTTGTAAATAAAGATCTACAATTGTAATAATATTAATCAAATCAGCATAATAAATATATGTTGTTTTTCAATTACTTTATTTTATGCTGTTCAGTACTTTGCTATATCGAAAATGTGCACAAATAATCACAAAAGAATATCTAAGATATGTGTTTATACCACTACAGTTCACATTTGTTAATTTGTTTAATTCCCTTGAGATGGAGAGGCTGTGGGTGGGTGTGTGTGTTGATCAGGCTGTACTGTATATATCATAGCACTCGACTGCCCTCACTGTGTATTAGGTGACCAGGCTGTACTGTATATAGATCCGTATTAGGTGACCAGGCAATAGTGTGCATATTATATATCATGCCCTCACTGTGTATTAGGTGACCAGGCTGAAGTGTACATATTATATATTTGTATTATGTGACCAGACTCTAGTGTATATATTATATCTGTATTATGTGACCAGGCTGTAGTGTAAATATTATATATCGATATTATGTGGTCAGGAATGATCTTGCTACCCCTAGGGTCTGTATTATGTGGCCAGGCTGTAGTGTATATATTATATATCTGTATTATGTGGCCAGGCTGTAGTGTATATATTATATCTGTATTATGTGACCAGGCTGTAGTGTATATATTATATATTGATATTATGTGGCCAGGCTGTAGTGTATATATTATATCTGTATTATGTGACCAGGCTGTAGTGTATATATTATATATTGATATTATGTGACCAGGCTGTAGTGTATATATTATATATCGGTATTATGTGGTCAGGCATGATCTTGCTACCCCTAGGGTCAGTATTAAGTGACCAGGCTGTAGTGTATATATTATATATCTGTATTATGTGGTCAGGCTGTAGTGTTTATATTATATATTAGGTGGTCAGGCTGTAGTGTGTATATTATATATTAGTATTATGTGGTCAGGCTGTAGTGTATATATATTATATATTAGGTGGTCAGGCTGTAGAGTATATATTATATGGTCAGGCTGTAGTGTATATATTATATATTATGTGGTCAGGCTGTAGTGTATATATTATATATTAGGTGGTCAGGCTGTAGTGTATATATTATATATTAGGTGGTCAGGCTGTAGTGTATATATTATATATTAGGTGGTCAGGCTGTAGTGTATATATTATATATTAGGTGGTCAGGCTGTAGTGTATATATTATATATTAGGTGGTCAGGCTGTAGTGTATATATTATATATTAGGTGGTCAGGCTGTAGTGTATATATTATACAGGGAGTGCAGAATTATTAGGCAAATGAGCATTTTGACCACATCATCCTCTTTATGCATGTTGTCTTACTCCAAGCTGTATAGGCTCGAAAGCCTACTACCAATTAAGCATATTAGGTGATGTGCATCTCTGTAATGAGAAGGGGTGTGGTCTAATGACATCAACACCCTATATCAGGTGTGCATAATTATTAGGCAACTTCCTTCCCTTTGGCAAAATGGGTCAAAAGAAGGACTTGACAGGCTCAGAAAAGTCAAAAATAGTGAGATATCTTGCAGAGGGATGCAGCACTCTTAAAATTGCAAAGCTTCTGAAGCGTGATCATCGAACAATCAAGCGTTTCATTCAAAATAGTCAACAGGGTCGCAAGAAGCGTGTGGAAAAACCAAGGCGCAAAATAACCGCCCATGAACTGAGAAAAGTCAAGCGTGCAGCTGCCACGATGCCACTTGCCACCAGTTTGCCATATTTCAGAGCTGCAACATCACTGGAGTGCCCAAAAGCACAAGGTGTGCAATACTCAGAGACATGGCCAAGGTAAGAAAGGCTGAAAGACGACCACCACTGAACAAGACACACAAGCTGAAACGCCAAGACTGGGCCAAGAAATATCTCAAGACTGATTTTTCTAAGGTTTTATGGACTGATGAAATGAGAGTGAGTCTTGATGGGCGGATGGATGGGCCCGTGGCTGGATTGGTAAAGGGCAGAGAGCTCCAGTCCGACTCAGACGCCAGCAAGGTGGAGGTGGAGTACTGGTTTGGGCTGGTATCATCAAAGATGAGCTTGTGGGGCCTTTTCGGGTTGAGGATGGAGTCAAGCTCAACTCCCAGTCCCACTGCCAGTTCCTGGAAGACACCTTCTTCAAGCAGTGGTACAGGAAGAAGTCTGCATCCTTCAAGAAAAACATGATTTTCATGTAGGACAATGCTCCATCACACGCGTCCAAGTACTCCACAGCGTGGCTGGCAAGAAAGGGTATAAAAGAAGAAAATCTAATGACATGGCCTCCTTGTTCACCTGATCTGAACCCCATTGAGAACCTGTAGTCCATCATCAAATGTGAAATTTACAAGGAGGGAAAACAGTACACCTCTCTGAACAGTGTCTGGGAGGCTGTGGTTGCTGCTGCACGCAATGTTGATGGTGAACAGATCAAAACACCGACAGAATCCATGGATGGCAGGCTTTTGAGTGTCCTTGCAAAGAAAGGTGGCTATATTGGTCACTGATTTGTTTTTGTTTTGAATGTCAGAAATGTATATTTGTGAATGTTGAGATGTTATATTGGTTTCACTGGTAATAATAAATAATTGAAATGGGTATATATTTGTTTTTTGTTAAGTTGCCTAATAATTATGCACAGTATTAGTCACCTGCACACACAGATATCCCCCTAACATAGCTATAACTAAAAACAAACTAAAAACTACTTCCAAAAATATTCAGCTTTGATATTAATGAGTTTTTGGGTTCATTGAGAACATGGTTGTTGTTCAATAATAAAATTAATCCTCAAAAATACAACTTGCCTAATAATTCTGCACTCCCTGTATTAGGTGGTCAGGGTGTAGTGTATATATTATATATTAGGTGGTCAGGATGTAGTGTATATATTATATATTAGGTGGTCAGGATGTAGTGTATATATTATATATTAGGAGGTCAGGCTGGAGTGTATATATTATATATTAGGTGGTCAGGCTGTAGTGTATATATTATATATTAGGTGGTCAGGCTGTAGTGTATATATTATATATTAGGTGGTCAGGGTGTAGTGTATATATTATATATTAGGTGGTCAGGGTGTAGTGTATATATTATATATTAGGTGGTCAGGGTGTAGTGTATATATTATATATTAGGTGGTCAGGCTGTAGTGTATATATTATATGGTCAGGCTGTAGTGTATATATTATATATTAGGTGGTCAGGCTGTAGTGTATATATTATATGGTCAGGATGTAGTGTATATATTATATATTAGGTGGTCAGGCTGTAGTGTATAAATTATATATTAGGTGGTCAGGGTGTAGTGTATATATTATATATTAGGTGGTCAGGGTGTAGTGTATATATTATATATTAGGTGGTCAGGCTGTAGTGTATATATTATATATTAGGTGGTCAGGCTGTAGTGTATATATTATATATTAGGTGGTCGAGCTGTAGTGTATATATTATATATTAGGTGGTCAGGGTGTAGTGTATATATTATATATTAGGTGGTCAGGATGTAGTGTATATATTATATATTAGGTGGTCAGGATGTAGTGTATATATTATATATTAGGAGGTCAGGCTGGAGTGTATATATTATATATTAGGTGGTCAGGCTGTAGTGTATATATTATATATTAGGTGGTCAGGCTGTAGTGTATATATTATATATTAGGTGGTCAGGGTGTAGTGTATATATTATATATTAGGTGGTCAGGGTGTAGTGTATATATTATATATTAGGTGGTCAGGGTGTAGTGTATATATTATATATTAGGTGGTCAGGGTGTAGTGTATATATTATATATTAGGTGGTCAGGGTGTAGTGTATATATTATATATTATATGGTCAGGGTGTAGTGTATATATTATATATTAGGTGGTCAGGGTGTAGTGTATATATTATATATTAGGTGGTCAGGGTGTAGTGTATATATTATATATTATATGGTCAGACTGTAGTGTATATATTATATATTAGGTGGTCAGACTGTAGTGTATATATTATATATTAGGTGTCAGGGTGTAGTGTATATATTATATGGTCAGGCTGTAGTGTATATATTATATATTAGGCGGTCAGGCTGTAGTGTATATATTATATATTAGGCGGTCAGGCTGTAGTGTATATATTATATATTAGGTGGTCAGGGTGTAGTGTATATATTATATATTAGGTGGTCAGGGTGTAGTGTATATATATTATATATTATATGGTCAGACTGTAGTGTATATATTATATATTAGGTGGTCAGACTGTAGTGTATATATTATATATTAGGTGTCAGGGTGTAGTGTATATATTATATATTATATGGTCAGGCTGTAGTGTATATATTATATATTAGGCGGTCAGGCTGTAGTGTATATATTATATATTATATGGTCAGGCTGTAGTGTATATATTATATATTAGGTGGTCAGGCTGTAGTGTATATATTATATATTAGGTGGTCAGGCTGTAGTGTATATATTATATGGTCAGGGTGTAGTGTATATATTATATGGTCAGGCTGTAGTGTATATATTATATATTAGGCGGTCAGGCTGTAGTGTATATATTATATATTAGGTGGTCAGGCTGTAGTGTATATATTATATATTATATGGTCAGGCTGTAGTGTATATATTATATATTATATGGTCAGGCTGTAGTGTATATATTATATATTAGGTGGTCAGGCTGTAGTGTATATATTATATATTATATGGTCAGGGTGTAGTGTATATATTATATATTAGGTGGTCAGGCTGTAGTGTATATATTATATATTATAGGTGAATCAAAAGACTCTTAGTGTATATATTATATATTAGATTGGTCAGGCTGTAGTGTATATATGTATATATTATTAGTGTAGTCAGGCTGTAGTGTATACTTATATATTATATATTAGGTAGTCAGGCTGTAGTGTATATATTATATTAGGTGGTCAGGCTGTAGTGTATATATATATATTAGGTGGGTCAGGCTGTAGTGTATATATTATATATTAGGTAGTCAGGCTGTAGTGTATATATTATATATTAGGTGGTCAGGCTGTAGTGTATATATTATATATTAAGTGGTCAGGCTGTAGTGTATATATTATATATTAGGTAGTCAGGCTGTAGTGTATATATTATATATTAGGTGGTCAGGCTGTAGTGTATATATTATATATTAGGTGGTCAGGGTGTAGTGTATATATTATATATTAGGTGGTCAGGCTGTAGTGTATATATTATATATTAGGTGGTCAGGCTGTAGTGTATATATTATATATTAGGTAATCAGGCTGTAGTGTATATATTATATATTAGGTGGTCAGGCTGTAGTGTATATATTAGGTGGTCAGGCTGTAGTGTATATATATTAGGTGGTCAGGCTGTAGTGTATATATTATATATTAGGTGGTCAGGCTGTAGTGTATATATTATATGGTCCGTCTGTAGTGTATATATTATATATTAGGTGGTCAGGCTGTAGTGTTTATATTATATGGTCAGGCTGTAGTGTATATATTATATATTAGGTGGTCAGGCTGTAGTGTATATATTATATATTAGGTGGTCAGGCTGTAGTGTATATATTATATATTAGGTGGTCAGGGTAGTGTATATATTATATATTAGGTGGTCAGGCTGTAGTGTATATATTATATATATGGTCAGGTGGTCAGGCTGTAGTGTATATATTATATATTAGGCGGTCAGGCTGTAGTGTATATATTATATATTAGGTGGTCACGGGTGTAGTGTATATATTATATATTAGGTGGTCAGGCTGTAGTGTATATATTATATATTAGGTGGTCAGGCTGTAGTGTATATATTATATATTAGGTGGTCAGGGTGTAGTGTATATATTATATATTAGGTGGTCAGGCTGTAGTGTATATATTATATATTAGGTGGTCAGGCTGTAGTGTATATATTATATATTAGGTGGTCAGGCTGTAGTGTATATATTATATATTAGGTGGTCAGGCTGTAGTGTATATATTATATATGTAGTGTATATATTATATATTAGGTGGTCAGGCTGTAGTGTATATATTATATATTATGGTCAGGCTGGTTAGTGTATATATTATATATTAGGTGGTCAGGCTGTAGTGTATATATTATATATTATTATGGTCAGGCTGTAGTGTATATATTATATATTACGGTAGGTGGTCAGGGTGTAGTGTATATATTATATATTAGGTGGTCAGGCTGTAGTGTATATATTATATATTAGGTGGTCAGGCTGTAGTGTATATATTATATATTAGGTGGTCTGGGTGTAGTGTATATATTATATATTAGGTGGTCAGGGTGTAGTGTATATATTATATATTAGGTGGTCAGGCTGTAGTGTATATATTATATATTAGGTGGTCAGGCTGTAGTGTATATATTATATATTAGGTGGTCAGGGTGTAGTGTATATATTATATATGTAGTGTATATATTATATATTAGGTGGTCAGGCTGTAGTGTATATATTATATGGTCTGGGTGTAGTGTATATATTATATGGTCAGGCTGTAGTGTATATATTATATATTAGGTGGTCAGGGTGTAGTGTATATATTATATATTAGGTGGTCTGGGTGTAGTGTATATATTATATATTAGGTGGTCAGGCTGTAGTGTATATATTATATATTAGGTGGTCAGGCTGTAGTGTATATATTATATATTAGGTGGTCAGGCTGTAGTGTATATATTATATGGTCTGGGTGTAGTGTATATATTATATGGTCAGGCTGTAGTGTTTATATTATATATTAGGTGGTCTGGGTGTAGTGTATATATTATATATTAGGTGGTCTGGGTGCAGTGCTGTATTAGGAGAGCTGGTGGGGTTCCAGCCGGTCTGCAATGTGAATAACCCGGACGGTGTTTGGAATATCTCCCGGTCGGACCATCGGTCACTTACCGACACGTTTCTGCTCGTTGTCAGTGTCGGCATCGCTCCCGAACAGATCCTGCATGTCCGCCATGGCTGAGAGCAGGAAGAGCTGGCAGACTGGGAGACACGACGAGGGAGGAAGAGCGGCCTGCTGGGACAGCGCAAGCCGCACTCTGTCAATAACTTTATTAACAAGGAGAAAAGTGAACACTGACAGACAGATCAGATTGTAGAGTAAAAAGTGACAATGAAGGTTGGGAAATTGGAAATCTCACTGCAACATTTGGGGCCAAAATACTAGCTGTACTGGATAAAACATCTTGTTTTCCCACTTGACTGTTTTGACCTAAAATTTTATAATTCTCTGCTTTGTCCCATAGCCATCCAACCCACTAGTGCATTTCACTGCCCACCCTCACTGTCCCAACACTGCCCGCCCACCCTCACTGCCCCAACACTGCCCACCC